GCTCTCGGTCGGCTCCTCATCCATCTCCACGCTAAGCTCCATGCACTCCAGCTGGTCATTGACATAGAGGGTGACACCCCCTCCTCGTCTCCTCTGCCTGTCCTTCCTAAAGAGCCTGTATCCTTCCATTCCAACACTCCAGTCATAGGAACCATCCCACCACGTCTCTGTGATGCCAATAAGATCACAGCCCTGCAGGTGTGCGCATGTCTCTAACTCGTCTTGTTTATTCCCCATGCTATGTGCGTTTGCATAGAGGCATTTAAGTTGGGCCCCCGATTAAGCTGACTTACTGCCTTGATTGGCTGGAATTCCTTTGTGCTGCTCTTCAGGTGCTCTCCTGCTGACCTGTGATCCTTCTCAATAGTAGCATTGATGCAACCATGTACTTTTACAGTTTATTTCCTTTTCATTACAGGTAAAGCTGTATTAGTGGAAATAAGTGTGGTAGCAATATAGTTGTGTTCAGTTTAAGAATGGTATACTGTTTAGATTTGGCATAGTTTTAAAATGTTGTCTAATAGGTACACCTTACCAGATGTGATGAGAATAGCACCAGAACATAGTGGGGTTTACATTATTATCCTCTGATGTATATCCATCTTGCAGATTTTGTCCCAGAATCTGGGAGACTAAATCCTTGCAGCAAGTGCCAAGGGTAGGAGTAACAGTGCAAATAGAGAACTGAAGTGGCATGGGGATGCCAACCAGTTTCTAAATCATTGACTTCTTTGTTATCAGCTTGCTAGCTCTGTGTTGAAAAGACCCAGTAGGCAAAGACAGTGAAGTCAGTCTTCTGATCACTGGGAGGAAGCTGCAAAATTTTTATGTTGAAACACAACCAGTAGTTTCTCTCTCCACTAGCCCCACAGTCCAGGAAACAGGTATTGTGGGATTAATCAGTTTTATCAGCAATTTTCTTTGTGTGGAAAGGATGGTAAAGCACCTGGCACCTCTCTTTGCAGTCTGATGCTACCAGCAGGGGAGGAAGTTATGGTGGAGAGCCACTGGAAAAATCATTCTTCTCAGATATATATGGGCGTATCTTAGACTTACACACGTACATTAAGGTGTACAGGGCACCTGTACACAGAGCTAAGAGCTCTGAAACTCCTCTGTCAGACATTTAACTGAGTGGTTTTCTTTTGGGATTGCATCTGTCCTTGGGCTGCATTAAAAGCATCTAGTTAAACATGATAAAAAGAACTGCTGACCTAGGATGGAAATGATGAGCTATAAGAAGAGGCAGCGTAGTGTGTTTTATCACAGAAAAGGTATTTACTTTAAAAAAACATTGCCAGCTTAAGCTGAATAAGATAAATAATGCATTTATAGTGAAGGAGACTTAGTTTAATGAAGACAAAAGACAGGACATTAATAGATGTGCTAAACATCCAACAAATTAATCTTTAATTTATAAAAGTGCTGTGTACCTGAACATCATCACTGAGTTGGGTGGCCTGAGAGAAACTCTGAGTAACTAAAGCATATCACAGAGAAGTAACCCTAAAAGGTTCATGTAAGGACAGGCTCTGAAAATCACAGCTTAGGCAATTTAGCCCATCTTCTGCCAGGTGATCATATGGCGCTGAATGTGTTCTTGAAATTTCAAGTACATACTTAGAAACCCTATTAAATTGAGGATAAGTGCTTTCTTGGGTAATACAATACTGAGATAGAAAATTATAAACAAGAGTCTTCCCGACATTTAAAACTTATGTTACAAGGCTATATCTGGGGGAATTGTTCACTTTGGGTTTTTGCAGGTTCCCGTAAAATGGAATTTAAGGGAAGTTCCTGGCATGAATCCTGTTTCGTTTGCCAGTATTGCCGGCAGCCTTTGGGAACAAAACCATTGATCACTAAAGACAATGAAAATTACTGCGTGCCCTGTTTCGAGAAGCAATTTGCTCACCATTGCTACTCTTGCAAAAAGGTAATTAAACGTACAATGGAAAAATTGCCCTAATGAGGTAATATTGCTCGTGGGGGAAGGGGCTGGATTATATAAAATGTCCGGTGAACTAAGAGTAAGAGCATTGGTATTGGCATTGCATGCCGAAAGCTAAATGCAACAGTGTCTGCTGTGCCCTTCTAATTAACATTAACATAAGCCTTATTATATTTGAAATAAATTTATTGAAACATTTGGGGGTTCTTTTGTTTGCACTTTTTAACAAAGGTTGAAATTTCACTGAAAATTATGTAAAACCCTTCTTTCCTGGTAATATCTGATTTTGCCTTCATAAACATGCTTCCCTTTCCAACATTTTTCAGATATATTTATATGCATAATAAGCCACCTAAGCTGAGCAAAGCATTCACAGTCTTGCCTCGTTTTCTCTTGAAATGTATCAGGCAATAATCAGATTAAGTAATATTCAGTTGTGATAATACTAGTCAAGAGTCCTACTGTTTCAATACATGATGCTTCCCCTATGGGTACCAGAAAGCTTGATTTCAAATGAGAGGGGTTTTTTCCCCAAATAAAAATAAATCAATTCATCCCTCCCTCAGTTTCTCATATTTTAAAATTGTTTCCGACTGATGAAAATACTAACAGTATCACACTATTCTCTAGGGAAAGGTTCTAAGCTACTTTTTATGGCAAAATTTAACTTACTCTTTAGTACCTGTATCACTCTGGAAGAAAAAATATTTTTTTTCACTTCATCAGGTAACTTATAATTTCGGAAGTTATTTAATATTTATCTGTAAACCTCTACCTCTAACAAAAGCTTTTAATTTAATAAAAATCTGTTGCCTGTTTTTTTCTTTAGTAGTTAAACTTTAGAAAGTGCTTCTATATATTCCCGTGTGTCTACATCTAGTCTTTAATTTGCATTAAATGATCACATGTCAAATATAGTAATTCTGCTCTATGTTTATTAGAGGCATTGAGGTTGGCAACTCCTATGTGAAATAATCAAGATTTGCTTCTTAAAAATTCTAGGAATGCAAAGAGTCCCCCTACATAATAGCTAAAACAATTTTACTACTTAAACTCTCATCAGTTCCCATAAATAAGAATTGAGCCCAAAGAGATTAAATTGCCAAACTGGAGTCTTGAATTTTGTGCCAGAGACTTTTAATGGAAAAGCAAATGAGAGTTAGAAGTAGCCCAATACTGGAATGCTAAGGGGATCGGGAACTATTTAAATTTTTTTATTGCCTGACATCACCCAGTATTATTCTTTATTTCCCTGAAACTGTACTCCCCAGGGAAATTTGATGGTGCCAGTATTTCTACTTCATTAAGTTTCTCCAACTTTTTCTCCTCATGTTCCAACTATATTCATTCATTCATTTTTTCCTTCATTCATTCATTCACTGTTGTACATGTGACCTGACAGTAGAAACACTATTTTACAGCTCGTCTTTATCTCTACAGAAATTTCTCTATACAGCCTCTCACAACTTCTGTGAAACCAGCTCTTTACCGCACATATGGAAGCCCTAGAGCAACTGGATATTTCCCTCTTCAGAAATAAGCAGTAGAGATCTGTGAGTGAGTTGCAGGGAACGAGACGTTTGATGACACTGATAAACACCATTTTTTTCTTCTTTTAGCAGTGATCATCTCCTTTCTGTCTCACTTCTGCTTCTTTACTGTCTCTTTCTTTCTACTTAAAATACTGTTTCAGTTGTGAGACAGCAAAATGCCAGTTCCAGTTGGAGATTAGTCACAACCTCAGCATTGGTTCTTTCATTCCCTGTCCATCACTGAGAATTGCTCTTCTGAGAGCATGCCTTTATCCGCATGTGTAACAGAAAAATTTCATAACAAGCTAACCTGTTTATTACAAACCCTGAGGTTATCCTATGGTAGAAAACAGAGAATAACAAACCAGTGGCATGTTCAGCTCAACTGCAGTTAGTCAAGTTGATATTCCAGATAAAAAACTGTTGACGTGACTGCACTTTCTTCTCTTGTGCATATGGGAAGAGCGAAAACAAGTGGAAGGACTTACAAAGGACTGGATAATCCTTCAAGATTCACACATTTGTTTCATTGCTCTGTCCTTTTTGTCAATACGTTAGGTAATAACTTCTGGGGGAGTGACCTACCATGATCAGCCTTGGCATAAAGAATGCTTTGTGTGTGCTGGGTGTAAAACCCAGCTGTCTGGACAAAGGTTTATTTCCAAGGATGAATATCCATACTGTGTAGACTGTTTCAGCAAATTGTATGCTAAGAAGTGTGCTGCTTGCAAGAAACCTATTACAGGTGAGTCTCATCTTCTAGAAGGGTCTAGACACCAATGAACCACCAGGCTTCTCTCAAATCAGACTTGACTTTAGAAAACAGCATTAAAAACAGTCCCGTCTTAATGAAAGACCGAGGGAGTTAACTACTAGAGAGACCTTCTCTCCATCACATGTAATGTGTCTTGCTAGGACATACAGATCACACATGTTCCCTGACTGCTGAGGAGCTGTTTTATGTGCCGAAAGGAGTTCCTGCATTGTTTGATTTAGTGCTTTCTGCACTAAAATTCATCTCTAAGAATATATGAAAAGGCACTTTTTGGCTCTTCCCAGTGCAGACAAGTCCCTCGTGTCTGTAATTTCTTCAGCTTTGTTTTAAATATGATCAAATTGGACACGAATTAACTGCCTGCTGGTTAGACACACCTATCAAATTAGAAAGCTTGCCAAATGCAACAAAGCTCTATTGCATGCATCCTTGTGTACTTAGATGATTTATAATTAGGCATATAGGTCACTATATGAGAGCATTTTCTGGTGTTCTGCATTGTAATTCTATTATGTGTGGACTTATCTGTTGAAGAGTACTGATTGTTACTGGTACATGCTGCATATGTAAGTGGACAAATAAAATGATGAATACCCAATCAAATGGGCATGATTTTGAAAAAAAAAAAAAAAAAGCCCCAAACCACCAAAAAAACCCAAAAAACACCAATGTTTTATTTCAGATACTCATGCTAGGAACTCCGTGATCTGGTGATTTCCGAAAGACTCGATCTTGAAGAAAATTAGGTGGAAATAATTAAATTTCACTCAGTGTTGTATAGAAACTATATGTATCAACGCATTGCAAATAATTTTCGTGAGAGTTTGTTGGGAAGATCAGCAAACCTGAATGGACATTCTGATAAACTCATTCTGTTCAGATTTCATAATGGGATAAGAAAACAAGCAAGTGACTTGTGGCTTGCTTAAAATATTTCTCACTGTATTTAAAGTTTTTTCCAATTCAGCCAACAAAGGATATTTCAGACTATGGATTTTTGTTCATTTGTTTGTTTGCTATAGGAATGACAACCTGATCACAAATCAGAAAACAATCTGTTGCACTTCTGAACCATGTCCAGAAATACTGGATTCACATCTTCTTTCTCATAATCTCTTTCAGCTCTCGGAGGTGCTAAATTTATCTCATTTGAAGAGCGCCAGTGGCATGGGGAATGCTTTAACTGCGCAAAATGCTCTGTCTCGCTGGTGGGCCAAGGATTCCTCACTCAGCAGGATGATGTCCTTTGTCATGAATGTGGCTCTGCTTCATAGTTCTGTGGAGAGCTGTACAGCTGCATTATTCTCGCTCTGTAACCATGTACTTCATTACTCTGCAGTGAGAAAATCATCTAAAAGGTATAACAGTTGTTTAGTCATTCAGGTAACGTTCCAACTGCAGTTTAATTCTATCATAGTTCTCGTATGTAAAAAATTTAAACAGACCCATACTAGCTAAGAAAATAATGCAGAAAAGATTCGTATATATTTTAAATATAACTACAGTATGTTTCTCCTTGTAACACACTGCACTCTGCTGTTAGAAGCTTAAAAATTTAAATTTCATCTTCCATGAACTATATGACTAATGATGAGGCATTAGCACTGCTTCACAGATGCAGACCTTGGTGTGGAAAGCTGGGCACATACATTTTTCTATTGGATCATAACATTGATGAGAACAACTTGTAGATATCAACTTCCTCCATACTGTGGGCAAAAAAGCTGCTGACAAAGCAGTCAGAAAGTCGAGAAGGGGATACTTTTACACAGAGGGCCACTGAGTCAGAGAAGCCCATTCCAGGGCCAGATAAAGGGAAAAAAGGTCATTTTCCTCTCTTTACTGAGATTGCTCCTCAGAAATGTGGTCTTCAGTCATCAGAAAAACTGAGTGACAGGTCCTTTCCCAAAATTAGTTAACTGTACTTAATTTTTCAAGCATAACTGTTTTAGAACATAAATAAACCCATATTTTGAGCTACTGTTACAGTAAGGATTGCCCAAGATTGGATAGTGCTGATGTACACTTTCCCATAACTAATATACCTTAAGACTCTGTCTCCATTGTCTTCACTAGATCTTCAAATACATGCATAAAATATATTTTTTTATTAGTAGAGACAAGACCCAACTCATACTTGTCCCTTTAACCTTGTACTTTCCTCCCCTCAGAGCCCATTTGCCAGCAATCAAAGCACTGTTAATGGCCTTACCATTTCCACCCTGCTAGGTCATTGATCCACAGTCTACCCCGTTTCTTGTAAATGCGTGCTTGTCTATAGCAAGCTATAAGCTCTTCAGAACCAATACTCAATTCATTTTGCTATATGCCATATGCATTTGCTAATATTATGTCAAGAATTGGTAATGTCATTGCAAGCTAGGCAGTCCTCACATGTAGTACAAAGTATTAGTTTCTATGTAGCTGGCTTTGAGAAGGTTATATCTGCTTGCTGAGCTTCAGCACTCAACTGTCTATTATTAAAGGTCATCTAGAGCTGAGTTAAAAGCATTTTTCTTCTCACTTCTTCCATTCTGTATGTTACAATGGCCTGATTCATGTTACAGTGTCTGTACCAGGCTGTTGTGAGTGGTGCAGTGATATTAAGGATGGCAGATTCTGCACCGCTCAGCACCATTTTAGTCCTCATCTCGCACATCTTTGAGTTGTACATTCTCCTTTAGACTCTTAAGTGCATAGAGTTATTTGGCTGACTTGAGTGGGCTTTATTCATACTGAAGCCAACCATTACTTCAGGTAGAAAAATGAAAAAAAGAGAAAAGAAAAAAAAGAATATGTGTGCATAGCTAAGCCAAAGCTGAACTGCAGTGGCATAAAATTAATATGGATAATGACTGACCAACAAGTACATAGCGGTCTGTTTTCCAGTCAATAAAATATTGATCTTTTGCTCTACGTGGTGTTTTGGTTTTTTCTTTCTTCTTTCATAGCAGCTTTTATTGCAATCTGGAGTTTGATTAGTTTATGCCTTTTCATTTTATCCCAGCTGCCTCCTTTTCTATTTTCACATTTCACATGGTTGATACAGGTTCTTGGTAAGTCTTGGATTCCCATAAATAGAAATATGTTTCATTGCCTTAAATACACACACACACACACACACACACATAGTGGTTCACAGTTATGTATGATGTTCTAAAAATGTGCACAGAGTTATCAGAAATTAGCCCATTAGTAAATGTTAATTGTCTTAACTTTTTAAGTGAAAATGATGAATCACCAGATGCAAGCTTGTCTGTGGGGTGTACCTTTTGTCTGTGTTGTGTGAAATAACATTCAGCACATTGCAAGAATGTGGTTTGGGCCCTTTATTCAGTCTTGTCTGAACAATCTTCCAGCTTAATTACAAACTGACGCAAGAATTACCAGGCAGAGTCCTAAGACATGACAGAGTCACAGGTCAGACACACCGATCATGATAATCCCAATCTTCAAGCCTTAACATTTAGGAAAATGAAATTCTTCTCTGACTCATCAACTAATTATATTTTTAGAAATACCAACTGAATTATTTATTTCTCTTGCAGTAAATACACTACAGTCAAATCTGAAACTGAACATTTTCACTTCAGAATAATAACAAGAAATAAATGTGACTGCTATAAATAGTTTGAATAAAAATTATGCTGGATATCAGATTGATATTTCCTAGTCTCAGTCACCAGCTACCGACGTATAAACATAAATATGGTAATACTCTGCACAATTTGGGTCAGCTATGCTCATGTAGATGAAAGCTCACTTGAATAGGTGCAGAGAAGGGCTGCAAGAAGGAACAGTGTGTCTCTCCGGAGGACTGTAGATCATGGAGGGGATTAGGCAGCTGCTATAAGCCAAGAGATTACATTTGGCTCAAGAACAAAGGCAAGTAAACTCCTCAGGACTGGAAATTGAAAATTAGAAGGCTGCTGCCGCTGCTGAGCAGTGATGCTCCAGGACAGCCTCTTTCCAGAACCAAGAGGGGAACAGCTATGCGGTCAGTTTCAAAGTGATGCTTGATCAGTGTGTTAAATGGCATATGTAACATGATTGCCTGGCACAGCAAAGCACTGGGCAAAATTAACCAGATGGTCAGCTTCAGTTGCTAACATTTGATTTACTGCAGGATGGTCAGGTTACAGACTCCAGTGCAATTCAATTTTCTTTAATAAACTTCAGAGGATGGAAGTTTGAGAGATTTATTTTTAAGTCAATCTTTTTTAATGTCATGTGCTTTTCTTTAACATTGTACTGTTTTATTTTAAAATATATCTTCCCTGTGTATTAGCTGCCCAGCTCTAAGGTAATCATATTGCTTTTGTTATGGTCAAGCTCAATTACCCTAAGGTGCAGTGACTTCTCTAATGCCCTGATCACATCTCCACTGTACCCATAGTTATCCCAGGGGACTGGGAGGGAGGCTGCCATTTGGGACTAACTTCTGAAGAGTTAAGTAGGTGCCCTATTACGTCCCTCAATGCTTAAGGCTAAAGTTTAAGTTCTTCAACCACTGGCTAATTGCCAGAGAACTCCTGGAGGTAACATGCCTAAAATACGAAGAACAAGCCCTGCCATATTGGTACCAAGTGACCCTTCTCTACCCATATTTCACATTTTTCACTCTCAGACAAGTTCATATAGTGAGAGCAAGATATCAGCCTTTTCCTGGACTTTTAAAATCCAGGCAGGTTTCCAGTAGATATTGTAACAGGCAACACACAGCAGTAGTAACTCAGAAACCCAGGATTTCACAGGTGGAGGCGTATGCTCCAGACTCATGACTTAGGTCTAGGATGAAACCCAGACATCCTCCATTCTCCCTCCTTGTTCCCTGGTTTTCTGGAAAGAAAATCTGCGAGCCCAGGCTGGGGAAGGGCTAGGGCATAGTGTGGCCATATCCGTGAAGTGGGTGCTGCATCACAGTGTAGTTTTTCTGCAGTAACTCAGCACATGCAAGTCTAACTGGTTCTTGTACTCTACTAGTGTGTCGTCCCAGGCTTTCCTCATGGTAAGAGTGGCTCAGTGCAACCACGGGAGCATTAAGAAGGGAATGGTAAGGTTTTGCAAGGCCTTCTGGACCTGTGGTTTCAAACACTTCACAGGCCCCATCACGAGAGGTGAGGTACCTGTTTATAGCCCACTGAATTGACCAGCAATTTCAGCATCTGGTTAAAGTTTTTATGAATCTCACTTTATTTAATAGAGTGGATGTAGAGCAGTGTATTGTATTTTAGAAAGACAAGTAAAAACACAGCGATATTTATACAATGACAGATATCAATAGCTGAAGGAAAGTAATGTTAAATGACTGCCTAAGTGGAAGCTGGGACACCATTTCTGTAAACAAAAAAGTTGGATGGGATTCAAGCCTATAGCCAGAACAAACTTGTTTACCAATCAAGCAGGAATACTACATTCTTGTTAATAATATCTCAAAGAAAACGTGTGTGCATGCATGTATGCTTGTTCACCCTCAAATTGCCAAAACTTGAATGGACTGAGTCGCAGGAAACCTGGCAACTTAAACCAAAGTACAAAACACCTGGCATGGTTATAGACGGCTATTTCCAAACAGAAGTTTCTGTTCATCGTATTCAGGAGTACCAGGTACAAGTATTTTGACATGAAAAGAGGACATGAAAAAGGTAAGACCTTTTGAGGACAGCTATGGCTGCAGTTTTTGTATAAGGATGTTATCCAATTGGCAATACAGAGCTGCAGTGGAGGGTCTAGAGATATCAAATTGGGCCTAAATCAGAAAGCTTTTCTTAGCTTGCTAGAGAGAACGTTTGTCCAATAATGTCCATTTAAACATTTCTGTAGACTTTCATCCTGCATTTTTCACCTAAGTCCTTCCTGGGGCTCCTTGAAGATGAGGCCAAACAGAGAGGCCAGACAGAGACGAGGGATCTCTACAGCACAGTCACACAGACATCCACAATGGCTAGTGAAAACAGCACATAAGAACCTGGATTTGCTCAGTGACAACTAATTCAGTGTCAGGAAAAAAACCATTGGACAGCATTACATCCAAGCTAATAAACTCTATATCTGTCTTGGATGTAATCCAATATCTTTTTTCATCAGCTTGTGCCTCTGCTGTACATCCTTTACTGGCCTCTCCAGTAAGATGTTCAAGACTGTAGATGCTCACCTGATTCACTGCAGATTTTTTTTAGCACTAACTGAATTAGTAAGTTACTGCATACAAGAGACTGCACTACTACTACATCTCTGGAAAAAAGGGAGCCACGAGTCCCTTTCATGCATAGTTTTTGTGAGGCTTTGAGAACTAATCACATTAAAACAACAAAGAAACACTCAGCTCCTGCCTGTAGCCTGCGCACAGATATGAAGGT